ATCCCATATGTGACACATTTTCCAGGTCATCTGGTTAAGACATAATTTAATTTTAAAATAAAATTTGGAAAAAATTTAAACCATCTAGCTTTTTGAGTTTGAGGTTTAAGGGAAAAGTTAGTGCTGCAAATACAATAATACTATCTGCTGTAAACATTTTTACAAAAGTGCTTTGAACACTTTTTGCATGTGTTATTATTATCTCTTAATGTAAGTAATAAAACAACTTAAGGCTTGTAAAACTCCAGAAAAATATTAGAAAATAGATGGAAATTTGACCACTTCCACTCTCTTTACAATAGAGTTATAAACAAACATTACAAAAGTGTAGTAATATGGATTAGAATAGATATTTAAAATTTTTTCTGCCCATTGTTATTTCATGTCATCATAATGCTCTTACCATGCAATTTCTATTCAGTAGCTGTCATCTTTTCTCTGTTCATTCTTCAAATTATTTTTCAGAACCACGGAATGTGCTTTGAGGAGTTTTTGAAATCTATATTTTCTTATGCAATTCAGATATGTAACTATAATTAACTTTATGCCATATGAAAAGATTGTTTTGATTTGCTTTTCTACTATGGATGTTAAAATTCATACATTCGCTCTGATGTCAAATATAAGCTAACTTTTTCCAATAGTATATCCTATAAAAATTTAAACCTTTATTGAATATACGAATTTTGTACTTTATCAGTGTATCCTTTCTTTTATAGCTTCTCGGACTTCTATTCAGAGTGAGCTTCATCGAGATAGGAGGTATGGTTATATTTGTAATAGAGGACACATATTCTGCTAATTATGAAGTAAAAGCGTGTCATCAGTGAGCAAGTTAAATATTCCTCTCTCATAAGGAGAGTATTACAGCCTCATCAGTACATTTTCTGAATTAATCTGTAAGTCTGAATGATGATTTCGCTTGAGAGAAAAAGCAGTACAAGCCTGAAAATCTTCTTTGGACAGTAATTATTCACTGAAGCCAATCTAAAAATGTTTATTAAGCAACTGCTCTATGGGAAGCATTGTTGTAACTGCTTCAAAGAAATGCTTTGTACCTCATAGCTACTTAGTAAATGTCACATGGATGAATGAACTGATGACAGGATAGAAAATTGAATAAAGGAAGGATAAAGAAAAGAGTCAGGCAGACTAGGTGGATAGCTGAATGAATAAAAATGGCTAGATGGCTGGTGGGAGGGAGGGATGGAGGGGAGCAGGGAGGAGTGAGTCACTGGATAGACAGAAGGAAGGACCAATAGACAGACACATGGTAGGATAGATGGAAGTGTGGACAGGTGGATAAATAGAAAGATAGATTTATGGTCCCTACTGTCAAATTTCTTAAAGTAGCGTATTGACTAATGGAGCACAAAGAGTTTATAGTCAGACATAGCCAAGTTCAAATCCTGGCTTCACCTTCTCACCATGTGACCTTGGGCAAAGCTCCTTAACTTTTCTTAGCTTCTATATCCCCACCTTTAAAACGGCGCTAATCATACTTACCTCATAGGGTTGTCATAAGGGTTAATGCGTGTATAGTGGTTAACATTTATTAACTAGTAATTCATTATCTAGTTAGATAAAAGCTATATAACAATTGGAATGACTCATTTGGATTCCACACAGGGAAGTGAAAGTAAGTTCACTGTGGCACACTTAGCATAATGTCTAAGAGGGGATTGGCTAAATGCAATTTGTGAACCGCTTTTTCTAACTCTGAGTATAATACATGCTCATTACAGAAAATATTGGAACACTAATAAAAGTATAAAGAATAAAGCACAGCGTATTCACTCTCCTACATAAAGACAGCAACAATTAATTGCTTTGAATAGTACATTCCAGATTATGAAGATAGGTAACAAGATTCTGTACATACATCTCAGAATCTCATTTTTCTCTGTAATTAGATCTTATATTTCCCTTTGTCAATCCAATTTCTTCTAATATATGACTGTGTTTAAATAATATTTGTCTGTGAGGTGATCATATTCTTTGTTTAATCATTTTTCTCATGTTGAAAATATGTGTTCTTATTTCAGTTATTTGTGCTAATAAGTAATTCTTGTTATTTAAATTTTTAAAAGCTATAAGTAGAGGTTCTCAGGTAATACAATTCAAATTTAATCAATGGGCAGTTTCTACAGATTCACAGGCTAGCATAAGAGTGTGTGTACGTGTACAGTTTTTATAATGGCAGTGCTTTTTATTTTTATTTTCCATAGAGTTCTAGAGAAAGGCAGAGGAGGTATCGTCATACCTATTTGTTAGATGAGAAAAGTGAGGCTCAGAGAGGTTAACTGATTTGCTCAGAGTCACGCATTTGGTATTTGTTAGGAAATCAGGTTGAAGGTAAAATGTAAACCTGAGACCATAGAATCAGGTTAAGAAAATGATGAAAGAAGCCACACCTAAATCACTGTGGCTCCAAGTATTGAAGATTAAGCATCAGATTCCTATACAAACTGACCGGGAACACAGACACACACATTAGGGTCTAGAAGTGAGCAAGTAAACTCTAAACACGGGGGAAAAGATCATTCTGAATGGGAGAGAGGTAGAGTGAGGAGGAAGACGCTGTTCTTCTGATACATAGTATCATTTCAGAGTATGTACTTTATAATAACGGAAAACGAAACATTTCCATTCAACCAGTGCATTTTTCTGTCTTATGATACCCTGTGTTTGTGCCATAGGCTAGATAGCAGAGCCCTGGGTTGAAGAGGTTGTATGGGTCTTGGTCCTCATTCTTATCAGCCAAGGCAGAGCGAAGTGTACTCAGGGTACATCTCTAACTCTCTGAGGCCAGTGTCATGGAGGATGGCTGTCACGTGGTCCCTCGAAGCCTGCCTCGGTGTACTATTAGAAAAAGTGCAGGTCAGACAGGTCATTTCTGTGACTATGGCAGTCCTTATGTCACTTTCTTGGGTGGTAGTTATTTTCATGAATCTCTGAACATTTACAAATAGACAATAGCTTGTTACCAAGCTGTAAAATCTCACTGAGGCTTCTGTCTGCTAGGCGCCCAGAGATCACCATCGTGGCAGCTGAGCCACTAAGGCCAACCTCGTGGTTTCCAGGAGCCCCACCCCCAGGACTGGCATTTCCCCCATCTTCCGCAGCAGGCCCTTGGAGGCCCAGTGAGCTGGTTCCTGCCGAGGTGAGTAAATATCGCATTATCTCTCTGCATTTTATTTTTAATGAAGTTCAAAGATAAGAACAGTGAGACCGTTAACACCTTGGCTATCACCCATAGGTGTCTAAAGTCTTCATCCTTCATTCTGCAGCTCCCACCATCGTATGAACAAGTCATAAAAGAAATCAACCAAGTTCAAGTTAACACTACAAATAATAATAATGCTGCTGCCACTCCAAGGCACACGATTACTTCAGCAACTCAGACTGACTTCTCAGAAGAAATAGACAACCATCTGCCTCAAAGTAATGCAAGTAATTTGTCTTCCCTAATTCTGACCTAGTTTTAGGGAAGTAATCAGTAGGCTCCAGCCTTTAAAATAATTTGCAATTTGTGCATAATTCATTGAGCTCTGCTTCCCAGTCATTGTGATCACTGTGTGCTTGCTTTATTTGGGTTTGCTGTGATTATTATAATAGGCCATTCTTCATCCTCACAAGCCGCAGCCCCAATCTCTAGGGTTCACCGTAGTTCATATCACAAAAACATCATCTTTTTAAATTTTTTTTAAAATTTCTTTATTTTATTTTATTTTTGGCTGCGTTGGGTCTTTGTTGCTGCGTGCGGGCTTTCTCTAGTTGTGGCGAGTGGGGGCTACTCTTCATTGCGGTGCGCGGGCTTCTCATTGCGGTGGCTTCTGTTGTTGCGGAGCACAGACTCTAGGTGCGCGGGCTCAGTAGTTGTGGCATGTGAGCTCAGTAGTTGTGGCTCTCGGGCTCTAGAGCACAGGCTCTGTAGTTGTGGCGCACGGGCTTAGTTGCTCCACAGCATGTGGGATTTTCCTGGACCAGGGCTTGAATCTGTGTTCCCTGCATTGGCAGGCAGACTCTTAACCACTGCACCACCAGGGAAGTCCCCAAAACATCATCCTTTTAACTCATGGTTGGTATTACTGCTGATGCCCTTTATTCCCATTGAGACAGCTGTTATATTTAGCACTTAACTTGATAGGATGCTAAAAGTGGTTGTCCTGTTAGGCTTTTAAAAAGCATTATATTAAGATAACAAATGAGAATAAGTTACTTTGGAAAAGTAAAGCAAGAATTTTGGGAATTTTGACAAGAGAGGAATGGTCATTGATAAGTCTACTGAGAATCAGGAATTTAATGGTGTTTTAAAATATTGTATAGGGACTTCCGTAGTGGTCCAGTGGTTAAGACTGTGTATTTCCACTGCAATGGAAGCACGGGTTCCATCCCTAGCCGGGGAACTAAGATCACGTATGCCGCACAGTGTGACAAATAAATAAATAAATAAATAAATAAAATAAAATATTATATAATGAATATTTTTATATGAATAAAAATAACGTGAAGAACCCTCCTGCAGGAAGCTGAATATAAACATCTCTCCATTGATTTTAGAATTACTTTTTCCTAAGGAAGGAAACCAAAATCTCTTGATAGTCTACATGTATATTTTTAAACTCTGTGTATCCTTTTTCTTTGAAATTATAACGTTGCAGCTTCTGTTCGTTTTGGTCTTGTCAGCACTGCCGGCACCTCTGAAACCTCTCCTGCCTTCCCCAGCAGCCTCAGCCAGCGATCCTCCGACAGACGAGACACCTTTAATAGTCTTTGATATTTCTGAAGAACAGAATTGTCCAGAAAACTCCAGTGCTACAAGATGTCCAGTGCCCAAACCAAGATCAAAAAGCAACCTCAGACCAGTGGCCAGAGAGCCTCACGTTAAAGAGCAGAATCCCCAGAAAAGCAGCCTAGCGGCCACGCCAGAAGAGACAACCCCGAGCCGGCCCCAGCCTCTGTGGGACGATACCGGCCACTCGGACAGTCAGGCAGTGATGAACATTATGAACACAGAACGGAGCCCAAATACCGTCGTTTCCAGGATCAAAGCACTTGAGGGTCAGACAAATGTGGAAAGCGTGGGACTGCCCAAGAAGCCAGAAATTGCCCCCCGGACAGTTCCCCCGAGGCCTGCTGCTACCTCAGGGAAACCCTCCGTGGCTCCCAAACCGGCAGCTGACAGAGCCTCTGGAGGCTGGGACTCCTGGACCACAAACAGACTCCGGGGGGCCTCTAGGGAAGGCCTCACCCCACACTCTCCACCGCAAGAAGCAGGGAGCGTCCCTGCAACCAAACCCGAATTGCCAAAGAAACCGAATCCTGGCCTCATACGAAGTGTTAATCCCGAGAGTCTGGGAGGAGGGTCCGTGGCCGAGAGCCCCGCCAGCGGGAAGAAAGCCCCGACTCCGGCTCCTCGGCCTTTGCTGCCCAAGAAATCAGCTTCTGCAGGAGGGGCCCCCTACCCTGCGGCCTCAGAAACGCCCCCCTACCCTGCGGCTTTGCTGAAACCCATCACTGTGCCTCCCCGACTCTCTGTGGCGTCACAAGCCAAAGCGTTCAGGTCCCTGGGAGAAGGACCCCCGGCCAGCCCCCCAGTCCCGGTTCTGCAAAGCAAGCCTCCGGGGGACATCGACCTCATCAGCTTTGACGATGAGGTTTTACCCGCCCCGTCTGGGAACCTGGCTGAAGACTCTATTGATTCAGAGATGGTTCTGGGTGAGTAAAACTCAGAAGTGGAGGGCAATCTAAATTCATCATAGGGTATCTCAAATGGCACTTGCTGTTTTCGTTTCTGACATAAGTTACTGAGGCTTGGACATGAATGTGTGTGCACATGCGTGCGTGTGGATGTGTGTGTGTGGATGTGTAGAGACAGGGAGAAACACAGCAAGATTAAGAAACAAGGAGCCGGGTGGGAGATGGAATCAGAGAGCGAAGGGAAAATCTGGGATGGGGAGATGGAGACGGAGAAAGAGGGAGGCACACGTGTTGATTACTCTCACATGAGCCAGGAATAAGCGGACTGGGACCAGGGACTTAACTAGATGAGAGGCCGGCTCCCTCCTCGGGCAGGTGGAGATTCGAGCATTAGGAGGAAGAGAGGGAAACTTCTCAGAGCGGGGAAGTCATGCCCCAGAAGGGCTCCTCAGATGGAGCCAGCCCCACGGGCGTGCCGGGAAAGGGACCAGCCCTGCGGAGGACTCTGGCAGGAGCAGTAAACCCGGCCATATGTTGCAGAATGTTGTTCCATAATCTTCACAGAACACCTTCCCTTAGGGAATGGAAAGTTTTGTAAATAAACTACAACAGTTGTAAGTTTCCTGCCAAGATCGGGACAGTTAGATTTCCCAAGAGGCAGAGAGTATGTTTTCTTTCCTCACACTGTTCAAATGGAGAGTGTGATGGTAAAGCTTATCTTTGATTTGTCAAACTAAACTGCTGTACTTGCCATTGCTAAGATTCCTTTCACTGCTGTTTACTTACTTGGGCAGAATTTATGAACATGTAAGCATAATAGTATTTTCAAAAGGTTAGCTGTCATCTTCTAAATGTTTAACATGCATCAAAATGATATAAGCTCTGTGATTCAAAACCAAATTCTGCTAAGTACAGGCATATTTTAAATGATAACAACCACATATTTATTAAATATTTATCATGCACACAACATTGTAACTGGCTATAGCATGCCTCTTGTCCATAAGGAGTGGAAAGAAAAACATTAGGATATATTGAACTTCTGCCTAGCTCCAAACCCTCTGCTAGATGCCCAAACATACATTATTTAATTTAATACTTACACTGACCCTTACAAGGCATCATTGGCCTCAGTTTGCAGATGAAGAAAATGAGACTGAGAGAGATCAAAGGGTAACTTACTCAGTTTTCCAAAGCAGGATTCAAAGTCCATCTTTTCTTTCTAAGTCTAGTTTAATTTTCACTCTATCATGTTGGTACTCAACATTTTCACGAATCCTTAAACCAGGCAACACATTAAAAACTTTACAAGTTTTTGTTATACCATTTCCTTATTTAAACCTTTTTGGTGTTAACAGGGTTCAGAGTAGGACAGGGAGGGGTAGATCCAACAGCAGCAAGCTGTTCAGGGGTGGAAACAGTACGAGCCAAAATAATAACCACCTTTGTAGAAGCTGCTAGATTCTGTGGGAATGGCAACTTGGTTAATAATTGCTGAGAATTTATTCTGTGTCATCAAGCAGATAATTACAGTCATCTTCAAAAAGGAAGGTCAACAGTATACATCAACATGAATACAGTATCGTGCTTCCTACTCAGCCTTTTCTGTTTCTTGATTTCTACCACTTCCTTGCACAGTGTTTAATTACTGAGGCAGTCTTTCAGCAAAAGGTCTAATTTGCTTGCCCCACCTGACTTTAACCATTGCTCTTACCTGTGGAGTTACCATGAACTGAACACTCTGTCTTCTTTTTTTTTTTAATTTTATAAATTTATTTATTTATTTTATTTATTTTTGTCTGTGTTGGGTCTCTGTTGCTGAGCACTGGCTTTCTCTAGTTGCTGCGAGCGGGGGCTATTCTTCGTTGCGGTGCGTGAGCTTCTCATCGCACTGGCTTCTCTTGTTACAGAGCACGGGCTCTAGGTGCACGGGCTTCAGTAGTTGTGGCTCGTGGGCTGTAGAGTACAGGCTCGGTAGTTGTGACACATGGGCTTAGCTGCTCCACGGCATGTGAGATCTTCCCAGACCAGGACTCTAACCCATGTCCCCTGCGTTGGCAGGCAGATTCTTAACCACTGCGCCACCAGGGAAGTCCACTCTGTCTTCTTTTTAAACCTGCTTCTCTTCCTGTATTCTACTCCTGTCCTAGTGGCACCATCACACACCAGCCCCCCCAAAGGATCCTATCCATCATCCTTGAGCCTTCCTACCTGTCACACACAGTGACTAGTTGTTTGGACTTAGAGTCAGGCAGGTCGGGGTCTACCACTTAAACGCTATGTGACCTTGGGCATTTACTTAACTCCACAATGCGTTGGTTTCCTCATCTGTAAAACATGATAATAATACTCCTCCTGGAGGTATTGCAGGGTTAAATATGGTTATGGAGGAAAGCCCTATCACATTGTCTGAAACATGGTAATAATACTCCTCCCGGAGGCATTGCAAGTGTCAAATATGATTATGGAGGAAAGCCTTATCACATTGTCTGAAACTTGGTATGTGCTCAATAAGTGGTAGTCATTATTCTTACTTCTTATCCTTCACATCCAGTTAGTGGTCAAGTCCTGCTGGTTTTATTTTCTGAATAGTTCTTAAATTTTCCTCTAGTTTCCATCACTCTTGCTACTGGCCCACTTTTCTAATCTTTAGGCCCAGATTCCTGCAGTAGCCTCCTAACTTGAGCCTCTGCTTCTGCCTCAAATCCATCATCATATCATGGTCACCCAATGGATTTTTCTAGAGTGTACATTGGACCTTGTTGCTTCCTTGCTTATTGCCCTCCAGAGGCCTTCAAGATCACCTCTGAATTCCTCAAAATGTAGAGGGAATTTTTGTGTTTACTGACTGGGGCTTTGTGACTTTTTTGGGGTGGGGGAGCTACACATTTTTTTAATTGAAGTATAATTGACATACAGCACTATGTATAATTGACGTACAGCACTATGTTAGTTCCATGTGCACAGCCTAGTGAGTTGATGTTTCAAGAGGATCACCATAAATCTAGTTACCATCTGCCATCATACAAAGTTATTACAGTATTATTGACTATATTCCCCATGCTCTAAGGCTTTGTGACTTTTTGATGGTGTATTAATAGCATTGTCTTGTAGATAAAAGGTTATGGTCTCTTGGTGAAACCTTGCTTAATCGTCCTGGTGTCAGCCAAAAACTGGGGGAGCAACACAGGAGAAAGGAGAGAAACTCACAGATATGTCTTTCCTTCTTTTTCTTTTCCCTCAAAAAATAAAGAAAATCCAATAAAGTAGTTTTCATAAAATGAAGTTGCCATATTAATCTCAGGAAATAGAGATCAGAAAATACTGAAGCTATGAAAACACTGTAAGGATTAGAAAAATTATTAAAGGGAAACTCATAAAACAGGCAATATAATATTGGATTCATTTCTTAGGTAGAATGCCTTCCAGATTAATATAGTGGAGCTGAGAAGCATTAGCAATTCCTCTTCACACCTTTACAAATCATACCCAGTTGTCAAAAAAGCAGAATGCTTCTGCTGTCAACCCCATTACACAGACCAGAATGATAGTTTAGCAGCCAATTTCTGCTATTAACAGAACTCAAGGGAAGGAAATAAATGACAGAAAAGCTAGCCAAGGATGGTGAAACTAATTATGATGACAAGCATATTATTGGAGACAGGTAATGGGCAGAAAACTACATTATCATCAGTGTTTTTCTCAACCCAGTAATGAAGACCATGTGGATATAGGTGTAAAGGGGCAGCAGGTGTGAGGGGGCAGGAAGGAGGGCAGAGTAAACACTGCAGATAAAAGTAGAGAAAGATGCCATGGACTTCCTTAGACTTGGTTAGGAGATGCTTTTGCAGGTAGTTGTGTTTTCTCTATAGAAGCAAGAGCAAAGAGTCTGTGATAGAGGAAATTATGACACTGGGGTTCTTAACCCTTTCTGGATCACAGAACTCAGTTAGGCTATGAATCTTTTTTCTCCCTTGAAAATAACCCTTTTGCACATGTACGCACAGTTGGAGGTACATTTCCAGAGCTTCAAGGGCCTATTCTTGGAGCCCAGATTAAGGACTTCTACTACAGAATGTTGGAAATTGCCTTCAGTGGACTTCTGAAATAAATTCTGGTTGCATCCATACAATGGAATATTGTGCAGTAGCTAAAAAAGAGGCAGACCACCTATTATCCCCTACTATGGACCAACCGCCAAGATACTCTGGGTGAAAAATGCAAGGTATAGATAGTATTCATGGTATTTTAGCTATAGTGTTGGTGTTAAAACACATATTTACATGTACATATGCTGTGTCTTTGGAAGACGTATTAAAAATGCTAACAAAGGTTGTCTTTTATGAGGGAACTCCCATAAGCAGGAGAGGATGGGGGAAGCTGGTTTTCAAATAGATGACCGTAAGCAGAATTAGGATGAAAGAAACTAGGAGGCATATCCTTTGTCTTTGCCACAGAGAAAGAGCTGCCCCCCCAACACTGTTCCTCAGCCTGTGAGGAGTAGAAATTTTAAGAATAATAAAATACGATTTTTCTAAACAATTATATTATTCAAGGTTACAAATAAAAGCTAATTATTATGAATTAAATATGTCTAAATTAGACAAATTCAAAAATATGTATCTGCATTATTTCCTATTAAATAGAATCACTGAGGAGTATTAGCCAAAATTTTCCAAAATTTTCTTGTTACTTTATGGAAAATTTTATGGCCATTATTGTCTTGAAAAAAGCAGCTAAAGGGACAAGTATTTTCATATTTTTCCTCTTATTTCTTTTTTTTTTTTTTTTTTTTTTTTTTTTTTTTTTTTTGCGTGCCGGCTTTCTCTAGTTGCGGTGAGCGGGGGCTACTCTTTGTTGTGGCGCACAGGCTGGGTTGCTCTGTGGCATGTGAGATCTTCACGGACCAGGGATTGAACCTGTGTCCCCTGCATTGGCACGCGGATTCTTAACCACTGCATCACCAGGGAAGTCCCTCCTCTTATTTCTAAGTGATTTTTGTTTCAGTTTGTTTGGCAGGGGTGTTATTTCAGCTTAATTTTTAACTTTTTCCATGTGATTGAATTTATTTTATTGGATTGTTTTTCAGTCACAAAGTAACATATATTTGCGGTAACAAGTCTAACAATATAAACATTTAGTAAAAGGCAAAAATGAATCTCCCTCCAATCCATTCAAATCCCCAGAATAACCAGTGTGAACCATGTTGTATGTAGCTTTCTGTGCCTTTGGACATTCCAAACCAAAGCTCACAAACATGTACACATATATGTACTTCTTCCTGTTTTTACAAAAAGTTTTACCTAACTGTACCCATTACTCAGCAGCAAAAATGTTTACCTAACTGTACCCATTACTCAGCAGCAAAAATGTTTACCTAACTGTACCCATTACCCAGCAGCTTACTTTATTCATTTAGTTATGAGGTTTAGGGACTTCTCTCCAGGCCAGTAGATCTAAGTCTGACTCCTTGTTCCCTGATACCTGCCTGATATTCCCTGGTATGAGCGCAGCACAGTCAAGTCAACATTTCCCCTATTGATGGACGCCACTACAAAAAATGCTGCGGTAAACACTCTTGTAAATATTTTTACTTCTACTAGTGCTTTTATAAAGAAATTTCCAAAAGTGGGACTACTGGCTTAAAGATCATGAACTTTAAACTTATTAACAGTACCAACAATCCAGTTTCCCACCTGGCAGTGCCAGGAGTTCCCAAACGTGAGGTGCCACCCTTGCCTTCTAGGTTGCCCACTTAACATTGCTGGTGGAGAAAAATACCCCTCTCATGAAAAGATGTAAAAAGTTAACATACTGTGTAGCTAGAGAGAGACTCTCACACCATCATCAAGATGAAAAACAGGCCTCTGGCTCCACCTTCTCACTGAAGTGATGCTGTCTCTCCTCTCTGCTCATCGGCACGCCTCTTCTGGATGGCAGCCTGGGACAGGGCGCAGAGAGGCACAGGCCGAGCTCACTGACTCAGGGAGCACAGCTAGGAGAAGTCATTAAGCAGACCCACTCCTGCCAAACAGCCACAGTACTGGAACACTCAGACTTCCTTGCTTCACTGTACTGAGAAAGAATTTTTTTTCTTCTTTTCTTTGGAGACGTGTATACTAGAATAATTACACATGATCTGAGTGCCAGTTATCAAAGAGCGGCTAATGATACTAAAAATAAAGACCAAGAAAGAGAGAGAAAGTGGGTAGCTAGGACACTTTGAATACTTTGTATTTAAGTTGTATCTTGCTACTTCAGTTTAAATCTAGCAGGTTTTAAAAAATGACTGGACCCTTTAATGCGGTAGTTGAGACGTGCAGGATTTGGGATGGGGTTCCCTGAGGCTGGCCCTCCAAGAACAAGCACATTTGGGATCCCCCTGTGCCCAGCCCTCCAAGGGCACCGAGTGGCCTCTTTCTCCTTCTCTGTTCGTGCTCTCACTCCTGGGATGTGAGAGAGACAGACTGTACGTGGTATCCTGGCCCAGAACATCAGATGAGTTGGGAAACACATTGAAGTGTTTACACGCTCAAGATTTTTTTCTCCCTCCACACTCACCCCCACAAAATCACCAACTAAAAACCTAGCCTAATAACCACCAGATTGTAGGGGCCCAAAGCAGCTGTTAAAGCAGAAATACCACTTGAATGGGGGAGCACAGTGAACAGTTATTAGCCTTAATCCTTTTCTTGAATTTTGGTCCTTTTCCCAGCAGGAAACAGAGCCCTGAGAGGATGGGCTGTTACAGCCAAGGTTGAGGGGACGGGGACGGTCAAGTCTCGGCAGCAGTGGGGGAAGGAAAGTCGCTCCTTGGAGGTCAGTGGGTTCCAACGAGGGCCAAGGAGGCAGAGCAGGGCCAATGGCAGGGGAGAGAGACGAACAGGAAGGAAAGGTGTGCACACAGGAGAGATACTATGTTTCTGTGCTTGAATAAAATATATGCCGAGATTGGGGTCTTCAAATTCTTTCATTCGAGCTAGCATTACTCAGAACAGATGACACGTTCAGGGAGTTCAGTTTCAGGTAACGTTTGCAATAATGGGCTTTAATACCAGCCTACCTTACCCTTTTTATCCATCAGCACTGCTGTTTCCTAAAAACCCAGATGTGTATTTTTCAGCTTGGAAGAACTGTTAGAATATGCAAAGTCCATCTGTTGGAAAGAGGATCATGGAGCCCTCCTCTCCCTCGCCCCCTGCACTCCTGTTTCAAGCTGCAACCTGCTTCCCTTCTGCCCACAACTGAAGTTCCGTTCCCCCTTGCTCTACGTTTCCCTTTTTCAGTAGCATGTCTCACCTTCTAATATACCACGTGAATCACTCAATATATTTACTGTTTATTGTTTCCGTCTCCTGCTGGAGTGTAAGCATCACAAGGGCAGAGTTCTTTGCTCTGTTCACTGACGTATTCCCAGCATCTAGAATAGCATTTGATGTGTAGCAGGCACCCGATCAATACTGAATGAAAAAAAGTGAAAGAGTAAGTTACAAAGAAATAGATATGATCCTGTTTGTGTTTTTCAAAATACCTACGTAATAATACATATGGTACAGAAAAAAAAATCACACATATTTTAGATAATAAAACGCATATTTAGATAAAAAACACATATTTTAGATAATAATTACTACTGCAGGGATGGGATTACAGGAGACTTTCTATCATATATTTCTTTTTTTTTTTAAAGATCAACTTTTTTTTAATAAATTTATTTATTTTTGGCTGCGTTGGGTCTTCATTGTTGCGTGCGGGCTTTCTCTAGTGGCGAGTGGGGGCTACTCTTCATTGCGGTGCGAGGGCTTCTCGTTGCGGTGGCTTCTCTTGTTGTGGAGCACAGGCTTTAGGCGCACGGGCTTCAGTAGTTGTGGCATGCAGGCTTCAGTAGTTGTGGCTTGTGGGCTCTAGAGCGCAGGCTCAGTAGTTGTGGCTCACGGGCTTAGTTGCTCCACGGCACGTGGGATCTTCCCGGACCAGGGATCGAACCTGTGTCCCCTGCATTGACAGGCGGATTCTTAACCACTGCGCCACCAGGGAAGTCCCTATCATATATTTCTTAATGTTTCCCATTTTTACAATAAATGTTACTTTTGAAATGAAAAGTAATGCTATAACAAAATAAGGAATTGATGGATTTCTTTAGACCTAAAAGAAGCAGCTTTGTTTGTTTTCTGGAGATATAGGTTACAATGGAAGAAAGTGATATTATTACAAGAGCCTTTTTTGAAAGTTTGATATTGTTTTGATGATGTTGAGGTGGATTTTTGAGCATAGACAAGACTTGCCTCACTAATGAGCTAAAAGACCAGTTTCCATAGAGGGGTCATCTAATTTTTTTTTTTTCTAACTAGCCTAATTATTATTTTACCTAGCATGCCATCTGGGGGCCTTACTTAGGTGATAGATAATAAACTTAAAATAGGATTGTACTTAACCATCCTATCTCCCCACCTCGCACCGTTACTGGCACGTGGTAAGCAGACATGTGAGATCAAGTGACTAGTGAGTGGGTGATGCCCTGGTAGCAGGTCTGAGAGTGGGGTTGCCTGAGAGCTGGGTGGAAGGGAAGGGCAAGTATCAAGGAGCTGAAAGGCCATCTTATCCTTAGCTCAGCTCTTTGTGTATTCTGAAAAGACCTGGTCAGCAAAAGATGCTTTATTGAATTGCAGCTCATAACAGGCAGAACATGAATGCTGTTAATCACAAGTGCTGTGAAGTGCATTGTTTATAGGGAGTATCTCCCTACAGGCGAGATCCAGAGAACAGGTTCTGAATACAGTATGTATTCATTCTGCCTCTTGCTGAATAAAGGCAAAAGCGGCCTCTTGAGACCCTGTGCACTGTATAGAGTACGCATTATACAGCATTTGATTTTATTTTTGCTAATCTATTTATTTTTAGGTTTTTCATCTTCTAAAAATTTTTTGGTCATCTTCCCAAACTACTAAAAAGAACATTTACATTAAAGAAAAAAAGACTATTTCTTTCAGTAAAAAAGTTTGGTGGGGGATTTCTCTGGTGGTCCAGTGGTTAGGGCTCCACGCTCTCACTGCCGAGGACCTGGGTTCCATCCCTGGTTGGGTAACTAAGATCCCACAAGCCTTGCGGCATGGCCAAAAACGAAAAAAGGAAGAAAAAGGTTTGGTGGTTATGCTTTTATTTAAAATACTCTCCCTAAGCACATACTGTCCATTTTAAATGAATGGGTTAAGATGGAGAATATATATCCTTGACCCCAAATTAAATATTTGAAAGGAGATGTCTTATTATATTTCCAGGATAAAACGTTTTCCATTTTCATGTTAGCAAGGTGTAGTTTCACTTCACTACTCAATCCGAGAGTGCTGCTGTCAGGCTCCCGCAGGGTGGGATGAGGGGTGGGCTGAGACCCAGGGCCAGCCCTTCAGGTCGGTTTTCCAATGCAGGCACAGGGGTGGGGCAAAGAGACCTTCCTTCCTGGGGGATCCGGGAAGCTTCACTATAGGGGGGAAATCGGCTGCATGTTTCAATTGCCCCTCATTTTCAGGCAGACACTTATGGAATGATTACACTCGGGTGAAAGATAGCTTCTACATAATTGAAGATTGTCCTGGATCTCTCTCATCAGAGAGGAAGAAAAGCCACATGAATTATTTACGGAGCGCCAAGTTATTTCCTTTCATGAGCCCTGACTTTGTTTTTGTCTCTGCAAACTGAGATTTTGTTTATCCATGAATAGTTTTCCCTAGGGCATGAAAAATATGACTCTTTAATTATGAATGAGGTTTTTTGTTTGAGTCTGTGTTAACTAAAACATGCAAAATACACTGTGTTTTTCATTAGATCCCTTTCAGCTCCCCACAAGAACAGAACCAGCAAAGGAACGAGCAGTTCAACCAGCACCCACCAGGAAGCCCACTGTGATTCGAATTCCAGCCAAACCAGGAAAATGTAAGCACTTCTCTGCCTCATTTATTTGCTTCTCCAAGAGCCAGTGAGAAATATATGCTAATTTATCAATGTCTGCTTTTGAAATTATGTATAATCAGCCACTTATTATTATTTTTCTGTCGAGAACATTTTCTTTTAACATCTTTATTGGAGTATAATTGCATTACAATGGTGTGTTAGTTTCTGCTGTATAACAAAGTGAATCAGTTATACATATGTTCCCATATCTCTTCCCTCGTTTATTTTTTATTTTTTAACATCTTTATTGCAGTATAATTGCTTTACAATGGTGTGTTAGTTTCTGCTTTATAACAAAGTGAATCAGTTATACATACATATATCCCTATATCTCTTCTCTCTTGCATCTCCCTCCCTCCCACCCTCCCTATCCCACCCCTCTAGGTGGTCACAAAGCACTGAGCTGATCCCCCTGTGCTATGCAGCTGCTTCCCACTAGCTATCTAGTTTACATTTGGTAGTGTATATATGTCCATGCCACTCTCTCAGTTTGTCCCAGCTTCCCCTTCCCCCTCCCCATATCCTCAAGTCCATTCTCAGCATCTGCGTCTTTATTCCTGTCCTGCCCCTAGGTTCTTCAGAACCACTTTTTTTTTTAAGATTCCATATATATGTATTAGCATACGGTATTTGTTTTTCTCTTTCTGACTTACTTCACTCTGTATGACAGACTCTAGGTACATCCACCTCACTAAAAATTAACTCAATTTTGTTTCTTTTTATGGCTGAGTCATATTCCATTATATATATGTGCCACATCTGCTTTATCCATTCATCTGTCGATGGACACTTAGGTTGCTTCCATGACCTGCTTATTGTAAATAGAGCTGCAATGAACACTGTGGTACATGACTCTTAGAATTATGGTTTTCTCAGGGTATATGCCCAGTAATGGGATTGCTGGGTCGTATGGTAATTCTATTTTTAGTTTTTTAAGGAACCCCCAAACTGTTCTCCATAGTGGCTCTATCAATTTACATTCGCACCAACAGTGCAAGAGGGTTCCCTTTTCTCCACACCCTCTCCAGCATTTATTGTTTGTAGATTTTCTGATGATGGCCATTCTGACTGGTGTGAGGTGATACCTCATTGTAGTTTTGATTTGCATTTCTCTAATGATTAGTGATGTTGAGCATCCTTTGATGTCTTTGTTGGGAATCTGTATATCTTCTTGGGAGAAATGTCTGTTTAGGTTTTCTGGCTATTTTTGGATTGGGTTGTTTGTCTTTTTGATATTGAACTGTATGAGCTGCTTATAGATTTTGGAGATTAATCCTTTGTCAGTTGCTTCATTTGCAAATATTTTCTCCCATTCTAAGCATTGTCTTTTCATCTTGTTTATGGTTTCCTTTGCTGTGAAAAAGCTTTTAAGTTTCATTAGGTCCCATTTGTTTACTTTTATTTTTATTTCCATTTCTCTAGGAGGTGGGTCAAAAAGGATCGTGCTTTGATTTATGTCATAGAGTGTTCTGCCTGTGTTTCTTCTAAGAGTTTTATAGTGTCTGGCCTTAACATTTAGGTCTTTAATCCATTTTGAGTTTATTTTTGTGTATGGCATTAGGGAGTGTTCTGATTTCATTGTTTTAACGTGTAGCTGTCCAGTTTTCCCAGCACGACTTATTCTCCATTGTATATTCTTGCCTCCTTTATCAAAGATAAGGTGACCATATTTGCATGGGTTTATCTCTGGGCATTCTTTCCTGTTGCATTGATCTGTGTTTCTGTTTTTGTGCCAATACCATGCTGTCTTGATGACTGTAGCTCTGTAGTATAGCCTGAAGTCAGGGAGCCTGATTCCTCCAGCTCCGTTTTTCGTTCTCAAGATTGCTTTGGCTATTCGGAGTCTTTTGTGTTTCCATACAAATTGTGAAATTTTTTATTCTAGTTCTGTGAAAAATGCCATTGGTAGTTTGATAGGGATTGCATTCAATCTGTAGATTGCTTTGGGTAGTATAGTCGTTTTCACAATGTTGATTCTTCCAATCCAAGAACATGGTATAATCTCTCCATCTGTTTGTATCATCTTTAATTTCTTTCATCAGTGTCATAGTTTTCTTCATACAGGTCTTTTGTCTCCTTAGGTAGGTTTATTCCTAGGTATTTTATTCTTTTTGTTGCAGTGGTAAATGGGAATGTTTCCTTAATTTCTCTTTCAGATTTTTCATCATTAGTATATAGGGATGCAAGAGTTTTCTGTGTATTAATTTTGTATCCTGCTACTTTACCAAATTTGTTGATTAGCTCTAGTGGTTTTCTGGTGGCACCTTTAGGATTCTCTATTTATAGTATCATGTCATCTGCAAAGAGTGACAGCTTTACTTCTTCTTTTCTGACTTGGATTCTTTTTATTTCTTTTTCTTCTCTGATTGCTGTGGCTAAAACTTCCAAAACTATGTTGAATAATAGAGGTGAGAGTGGGCAACCTAGTCTTGTTCCTGATCTTAGTGGAAATGGTTTCAGTTTTCATCATTGAGAACAATGTTGGCTGTGGGTATGTCATATCTGGCCTTTATTATGTTGAGGTAAGTTTCCTCTGTTCCCCCTTTCTGGCATGTTTTTATCATAAATGGGTGTTGAATTTTGTCGAAAGCTTTTTCTGTTCCTATTGAGATAATCATATGGTTTTTCTCCTTCAGTTTGTTAATATGGTTTATCACATTGATTGATTTGCGTATATTGAAGAATTCTTGCTTCCTGGGATAAATCCCACTATATCATGGTGTATGATCCTTTTAATGTGCTGCTGGATTCTGTTTGCTAGTATTTTGTTTAGGATTTTTGCATGTATGTTCATCAGTGATATTGGTGTGTAGATTTCTTTTTTTGGGACATCTTTGTCTGGTTTTGTTATCAGGGTGATGGTGGCCTCATTGAATGAGTTTGGCAGTGTTCCTCCCTCTGCTATATCTTGGAAGAGTTTGAGAAGGATTGGTGTTAGCTCTTCTCAAAATGTTTGATAGAATTCGCCTGTGAATCCTTCTGATCCAGGGCTTTTCTTTATTGGAAAATTTTTAATCACAGTTTCAATTTCAGTGCTTGTGATTTGTCTGTTTATATTTTCTATTTCTTTCTGGTTCAGTCTCAGAAGGTTGTGCTTGTCTAAGAATTTGTCCATTTCCTCCAGGTTGCCCATTTTATTGGCATAGAGTTGCTTGTAGTAATCTCTCATGATCCTTTGTATTTCTGCAGTGTCAGTTGTTACTTCTTTTTCATTTCTAATTCTGTTGATTTGAGTCTTCTCCCTTTTTTTCTTGATGAGTCTGGCTAATGGTTTATCGATTTTGTTTATCTTCTCAAAGAACCAGCTTTGAGTTTTATTGCTATTTGCTATCGTTTCCTTCATTTCTTTTTCATTTATTTCTGATCTGATCTTTATGATTTCTTTCCTTCTGCTCACTTTGGGGTTTTTTTGTTCTTCTTTCTCTAATTGCTTTAGTGTAAGGTTAGTTTGTTTATTTGAGATGTTTCTTGTTTCTTGAGGTAGGATTGTATTGCTGTAGACTTCCTTCTTAGAACTGCTTTTGTTGCATCCCATAGGTTTTGGGTCATCGTGCTTTCATTGTCATTTGTTTCTAGGTATTTTTTTATTTCCTCTTTGATTTCTTCAGTGATCTCTTGGATATTTAGTAGTGTATTGTTTAGCCTCCGTGTGTTTGTATTTTTTACAGATTTTTTCCTGTAATCAATATCTAGTCTCATTGCGTTGTGGTCAGAAAAGATACTTGATACAATTTCAATTTTCATAAATTTACCAGTCCTTGATTTGTGACCTAAGATATGGTCTAACCTGGAGAATGTTCCATGAGCAGAAGAAAGCGTATTCTGTTGTTTTTGGATGGAACGTCCTATAAATATCAATTAAGTCCATCTTGTTTAATGTATCATTTAAAGCTTGTGTTTCCTTATTGATTTTCATTTTGGGTGATCTGTCCATTGGTGAAAGTGGGGTGTTAAAGTCCCCTACTATGATTGTGTTACTGTCGATTTCCCGTTTTATGGCTGTTAGCATTTGCCTGATGTATTGAGGTGCTCCTATGTTGGGTGCATAAATATTTACAATTGTTACTACTTCTTCTTTGATTGATCCCTTGATCATTATGTAGTGTCCTTCTTTGTCTCTTGTAATAGTCTTTATTTAAACATCTATTTTGCCTGGTATGAGAATTGGTACTCCAGCTTTCTTTTGATTTTCCATTTGCATAGAATATCTTTTTCCATCCCCTCACTTTCAGTCTGTATGTGTCCCCAGGTCTGAAGTGGGTGTCTTGTAGATAGCATATATATGGGTCTTATTTTTGTATCCATTCAGCCAGTCTGTGTCTTTTGGTTGGAGCATTTAATCCAATTACATTTAAGGTAATTATCGATATGTATGTTTCTATGACCATTTTCTTAATTGTTTTGTGTTCGTTATTGTAGGTCTTTTCCTTCTCATGTGTTTCCTGCCTAGAGAAGTTCCTTTAGCATTTGTTGTAAAGCTGGTTAGGTGGTGCTGAATTCTCTTAACTTTTGCTTGTCTGTAAAGGTTTTAATTTCTCTGTTGAATCTGAATGAGATCCTTGCTGAGTAGCGTAATCTTGCTTGTAGGTTTTTCCCTTTCATCACTTTAAATATGTCCTGCCACACCCTTCTGGCTTGCAGAGTTTCTGCTGAGAAATCTGCTGAGAAATCAGCTGAATCCTTATGGGGATTCCCTTGTATGTTACTTGTTGCTTTTCCCTTGCTGCTTTTAATATGTTTTCTTTGTATTTAATTTTTGATAGTTTGATTAATATGTGTCTTGGCGTGTTTCTCCTTGGATTTATCCTGTATGGGACGCTCTGTGCTTCCTGGACTTGACTATTTCCTTTCCCACATTAGGGAAGTTTTCAACTCTAATCTCTTCAAATATTTTCTCAGTCCCTTTGTTTTTCTCTTCTTCTTCTGGGACCCCTATAATTTGAATGTTGGTGCTTTCAATATTGTCCCAGAGGTCTCTGAGA